AACAAATGAATGAGCAGACTGGTTGTGCTTTAACAGGAGGATACTGAAAGCTGAAAAGGAATAACCATAGCCACTGAGGAGTGTCAGAACTACACATACAGCTGGGTGGGGACACTGTGGGTAGATCAGCCACGGGACAGTCAGGTTCTCCTTCTGCGAGCCTTGAGTGTGCAGGTTTTGGCTTCATTCATGACCAGGAAACCGCCCAAAGCTGAGATGGCTTTAGCATAGCCATAGCTTAGGACTCTCTCGCTAGTAAAAGAAAACTGACATTAGGGTTCAGCTGGTGCAGCGAACCCATCTGTTTAACACCATGACAGGTTTCAACAGGCAGCCCTTGACACCAAAGCAATAAGCAGAGCCTTCACCCAAAAACCTCCTTCTTGGTAGCAATGAGCATCTCTAACTTCACCCATTGCTCTGACATTGACCACTGATTGTTTTCAAATATCTCTTCCTGCTGCTGTTCTCACCCATGCCAGCCACACCCCAGTCATCCCAGACAAGCCCAGAGCATTCTCTCTTTTTTTTGAGACAGAGTCTCGCTCTCTTGCCCAGACTAGAGTGTTGTGATGTCAGCCTAACTCACAGCAACCTGAAACTCCTGGGTTCAGGGGATCTTCCTGCCTCAGCCTCCCAGGTAGCTGGGACTACAGGCAGCACCACCATGGCCTGCTAATTTTTTCTATTTTTAGTAGAGACAGGGTCTCGCTCTTGCTCAGGCTGGTCTTGAACTCCTGAGCTCAAGCAATCCTCCCGCCTTGGCCTCCAGAGTGCTAGGATTACAGGCGTGGGCCACCACGCCCGGCCTGCAGAACATTCTCTATGTGCTGTGCTCCTACTTCCATGGCTTCCTTACTCTCCTCCCTACACAGGGATCCCCCTGCCCATACCTCTCACCATCGCCACCTGCCCAAGGCCTGCTCATCCTCAAGGCTATGCTGATACCCCACCTCCACCACCCCAGAGACCACCAAAGTTGGCATTTACTTCTTCTTCTCTGACACCCTCTCACACTTGCTTTCTACTTTGCTAATCACCTATTGCTGCATAACAGACCACCCCAAACTTTAGCCATTTAAAGCAACCACTATTTTATTTCATCTCATGACTTTGTGGATCAGGGATTTGGGCAGAGCTTAGCTTGGAAGACTTTTTGCCTCTCATGATATAAACTGAAGACATTAGGTAGAATTCATCTGGCGAATGAGTAAGCGTGGCCCAAGAAAGCTCCCTCAATGTTTGGCACATTGGCTAGAACTCTGGGAGGCTGGACTTAGTTGCCACTGTTGTCTGGACACCTACACATGGCATGTAGTATGTGTAGGTGGGGGATCAGGCTTTTGTATCAACTGCCAGAGAGTTCCAGAAGACAAGAAGTGGAAGCTTCTTGGGCTAGTTTCCTCTCTGAAAATAAGAATGTTGCATTAATGACATGATCTCCCAAATGGCTTCCAGCCCCAAGAGTCTCACATTTTAACTGTTTTAGAGTGTCTGTCCTCAGCAATTAATCCCTTCTTTGCTTGGAAAGTGGAGAAATTCTAGGAATTTCATCTAATTATAATAGAATATAATAATTTATGACCTGTTCCTCTAAAGAGCTAAGAGCTATGAACCACCCTGGTAGAATAGGATTATAAATGTATACATACTTCACTATGCTGGCAAGAAAATCCCAAAACCAACACAAAATAAAACAAGCCTCTTTATACTCTTTAACTGATCTAATTTTACTTATTACCCACCTCACTTCAAATCCTATTAAGCTTATAAAGTATGAAATGTCCTATTTCCTTAAATACTAAGTTTGACAGTTGATATCTCTGACATTTCACTTTGACACTTCTTGTTTTATGTTTATTGCGAAGGTACATCCTCATTCTTTCAAACGCATGGGTTGGCTTGTGATTATATTTCAAACTTTTTTAGAGCAACTTTTGTGAAACCATGGATCAGTCAAAAATTCGTATTATTTTCAAATACTAGTGCTGTCATGGAACAAATGCAGCAAAGACAGCTCAAAATATCAACAAAGTGTTTAGGAAAAATGTGGCTAATGAACGCACAGTACATTGATGGGTTGAGAAGTTCTATTCTGGTGATTTTAATCTTGAAAATGAGCCATGTGGGCAACCTGAGACCCAGGTGGATAATGTTGAACTGAGAGCTGTGGTGGAAGGGAATCAATCTCAGCCTACGTGTGAATTAGCAGCAAGGTTTGATGTTACTATTCCAGGAACATTGGATCATTTGAAACAAATTGGCAAGGTAAAGAAGCTGGATAGATGGGTTCTGTGTGAATTAAACAAGCGTCAGAAGAGAAATTGTCTGGAAGCTTGCAGTTCTTTGCTGTCACGACATAAAGATTGTTGTGCTGTCATAACAAAGTCTACTCCATATTGTTATGTGTGATGAAAAATGGATTCTTTTTGACAATTGCAAGCATTAGGGACGATGGTTGGATAAAGATGAAGTGCCAAAACACAGTCCAAAACCAAATATTCATCAAAAAAAAACCTAATGGTGTCTGATTGGTGGTCCAGCACTGGTATTACCCACTACAGCTTCATGAAGCCTAGTCAATCGATTACAGTGGCTGTCTACTGCACCCAACTGGATGAAGTAATGAGGAGGCTTGCAATGAAGCAGCCGAGACTGGTCAATTCTCTACAGGTCAATACTCTACAATCCTCTTGTAAGACAACACTCGAGCACATGTCGCACAAACAATTCTGCTCAAACGACAGAGGCTGGACTTGGAAACTGTCATCTACCATATTCACCAGACCTTGCACCAACTGACTACCACATCTTCCAGGCTTTGGACAACTTTTTGCAAGGAAAAATATTCAATTCTCAATAAGCTGTAGGAAACACCTTTCGTGATTTCATCGCCATTCTCTCTCCAGGCTTCTTCCCTGCTGGCATAAACTCTTAAGATGGCAAAACTGTGTCAAGAGTTTAGGTGCATACTTTGATAAATTGTACTGGTGCTCGTTTGAGATATAATAAACTTTTGATTCGAAATTGGACATTTCATATTTATTGACCTAAAATAAATAGTAGAGATAGGAGGTAAGGATAGGGGCAGAATTTGACAATTAGTAGTATCTCCATATTAAAATGAATCTGTTGGACAGATATTCACTTAATTTAAATTTAAACCCTTTAAATGGAGCTGTTTTTCCCCTCTTCATCCTGCTTTTCAAGGTGGCTTCAGAGAGGAGATGAAAGCTTAGGAGTATTTCATCTCCTAAGGGGGAGTGGGGATGTGGGAGGGGGTTGAGGCAGTGAGGCAGGTGGCCCAGGTACTGTCCCTCTCTGCAGAGGTGTCATGGGGTAGCTGTGTTGATCTGATCTCAGAATTGTCATCTGCTAAGGATGGTCCCATCTGGCCTCATGGCCTGAAGTTAATCCTCTGATGCTCATGGCTGGCCCTTGTCACTGAATTTCATGCCTTAGAAGTTGTCTATTTCTGCCTCCAGGCTGGTCTGGACCTCCTCCGAGCACCTCTATGATGTCCCCCCAGGCCATGAAACAAGCAAGCTTCAGACCCTGTGCCCAACACACCAAGGTTCAGCAGAGCCAAGAGAGCTTCCTTGTGCTCCTCTCTCTAGCTGCTTCCCTCTATCAGCTGCACTGTCCCCTTCTACCAAATTCTTCCTGGAGACCCGAAGTCCTCCTCAGGTCACACCTGGGAAAAGGACCACAGCATTGCACAACGCCAGCAAGGGCCATTTACAAAGAATGCAAGATTGTCCCTGGAGTTGCACAACATAGGGGCCCAGTGAGGGGAGCAGACCACCAACCTCAGGACAAGGTTCACTCAAGATTCTCCCAGCAGAGGGACTATGAACACGTGTGTTTGACTCTTTGGCTGGTCCTTGCTCCCCATCTTCTTCCCACAATTCCTCAAGCCTAAAGAGGCCTGATTTCTCCCCGCCCTTCTTGTGTAACCAAGGCTTCTCTTTCATTGTAGCCTAAGCTTTCCCTACTCGGGGTTTATAGAAACTGTATGAATCAGCCCACCAGCCCTGACTCCTGACATGTTAATGGGAGCTCAAGGAATTTAGAAATTCATTTCTTCTCACCAAAGCCTGGCTGTTATCTTGCTAGTGACTCGAAAATCCCATTTGCTGGTCAAAGATGAGAAATGACTCTGTTGCTATAGTTGATCTCAGCCCTTTCCCTGAAGATCTTAAATCCATTGCTTCAGTGGATTTGAAGAGCCTCAGATGTAGAGCCCTAGGGCAACAGTCATTCTAGGAGATGGAATACTTCAGAAATGTTATGTTAAATTATCATCCCCCATATGCATATATGTCATAAACATCCTTATCATGGTTTTGCAAATAGTGGCATTACCAGGCTCTCAAGGGCTAAGAAACAGAATGAAAACTTCTCTTTCTCATGCTTACCTATTAACTTCTTCCCTCTTCCCAGACCCATTTTCCCAACACTTGGGTTATTTAACACTCTTATAAAGAACGAATATGTTCTTGTCACTGAAATAATTATTTCTGTTTCAAGCTTGCTACACGTTTTTGCGTATGCTCCCCACTGTAGATTTCTAGGTGAAGCAACTGAAACACTAAGCCTCACATTTTTACCTTTTCTGGTCCTATGGCAGGTGTTTGATTTAGGGGAGTCACATGGCCCTCTGGACGTCAGTGTCTTCATTAGAAAGTGAGAAGTTTGGTGATCTCAGTAGACCTTCTGGCTGTCCACTTACACAAACTGTTTTGCCCTTGAGTTGGACAGTCCCCACTGTAAATGTCTAGTGCCTACTCATTCTTTCAAACTCAACTCCTGGGTCAGCTTCTGGAAACCTTCCCAATTTTCCTTCTCACCACAATCCTTGCGTCCCCCAGACTTGGATAGCCAACCTTCCCCTATGTGTCTATAATTCCCTGCATGCAACCTGCACTTACCACACCAGGTAACAATGATCTGTTCACAAGGGACTGGATATTTTAACATAGCACAGTATTTGCTTAGAGTACAGCTTTCGATACATATTTATTGAATTAATTATTTTACACAAATCTAGAGTAGTCATGTCTCTCTGTGCTTTTAATCTCCAGGAAGGTTCTGAGATCACATGGAGGCCCTGGGTAAGTAGTCCAGCATGTCTCAGAACAAGTGAGTATTTAAGACTTCTTTGCAAAGACTCATCCTTGGAACATGGAGCCATTCCTAGCCAGAAGAAATGAAAGAATATTGGAGGTTATTTTGTAGTTCTTGTAGAAAAGAATGAGTTGGCTCATAGTCTGATAAAACATAATGATAGGCTTTAATCTTCAAGACTCAAGAGTAAAGAGGAAAATCTGCATGTACCTTTCTGGAAATTCAACCTGGCGAGTGTCAATATTCCTTCGCCTAGGTTTATTGGCAAATGCTCAGCTTTCATATCCAACATAATTAAAAACTGGGCAGCTTCCCCAAGTCTAATGATCTCTTTAAAAACCCAGCTAGTAATTCTTTTATTATTTATTTATTTATTTGGGTTCTGTTCATGACATCCAGATACATGGATAATCTCAACTCTTGGGTTATTAGTTATTTCTATAAAGCTAGAGTTTTCTTGAAAATCAGAGACCTCTTGAAAGCTAAGACTCTTTGCAGAGTTATTTGTAGGCAAATGTCATGTTCTGGGGAGTCTTAGAAATTGCTTATTGTTTTTCATCAAATTGTATTTATTTTAGGAGCACCGGGGCTTAGTTCAAAGGGTGACCACTTTTGCTCCTTGTTTAGGAATCCTTCACCTCTGGTTGAACACGTAAATTTTCTAATTTAGCAGAGATCTTTCAATCCTCTTGTTGAAGGTAAAGGACACGAGACATGAGCCATTCCCATTGTGTTAGGCCTTGGACAGCATAACCAATCTTGCCGATGTGTTTTACCAGCTTGCCAGTCAATAGCCCTGTGCTTCCTGATTTCCCGCATACATCCCTTGGGGAGTTACAGTAGTGGTCAAAGGCAATGGCCCTCCTAGATGAAAAATAACTCTTCTTAGGACAAGAATTGTGTATGGGGGGGCTAGGGAGGAGCAGTGAACACAAAATACGTATATGAAAATGGAAGATAGCTCTTGGGGGGGGTTACATCTTTTTTCTCTCTCTTCATAGATAAAAAAATAATCAAAATTATGTTGCTTGCAGGGTACATGTTGACAGGAGATGATTTCATTTTGCAGCTTACAAAGGATCAAAGATCTCTGATTTTTTTTTTTTTTTAATGTCTCATGTTTAACCCATGAACCTATATTTCATTTAAGCTTTGCTTTTCTGGTATAGACAGGTCCTTGAGACTACCTACCCTGGCCCAATCTTTCCAGAGGATAAAGAAAACGTGTCTGTGAACTGCAACAACTCCCACAGGGCCCTGCACAGGGTCAGTCTCAGCAGTAGGATGGAGGAGCCCAGGGAGGAGCTATCTGAGCCTGTACCATCCAGCATCAGCCATTGTGAAGTGCTCCTGGGTGCCAGCCTACCTTGACTCACGTAATCACCACAGATACCCAGTGAGGTCTGTATTATGAGCCCAATTTGGTAGATGACAAAGATGAAGCTCAGAGAATTAAGGTAACTTGTCTGAATGTACACATTTAACAAGAGGCAGAATCAAGATTTGAATTCAGGTCTTTTGAATTCTAAATATTCTTCCCTAACTGCTGTATTATACTGGCCCCTCTTCTCACCAATTAAAAGGTAACATACAAACTAAGCCCTTAGTTCCCAGCCTTACATACTTTCATCTAAATTAATTCCTGTAGTGAGCTTCCGACGTTTACCAGGACAGCCAGGGCTGAGTCCTGTGAGTTTGGCGTCTTGGGGGCACATGCTCCCTGGGCCCCTGCTCTTGCTTTCTTTACCATCCCACCCTTCCCCAGGAGGTAAACAATGCCATTAATCCATAATGATATATTAATAATATTAAATTATTAACACTGATTAGCATTAAATGATTAATAATTTATGCTTATTAATCAAGTTGCAATGGGGCAATTGAGTTGATTCATTGGATGGAAACCTGGGGCTGTGGTTCCTCTAAGTCACTGGTTCTCAGCTGGTGGTGATTTTGCCCTCCTAGGACACACTTGGCACGATCTGGAAACACTTTGGTTGTCATAGCTTAAGGAGGTGCTACATGACATCCAACAGGTAGTGGCCAGGGATGCTGCCCATCATCCCATAAGGCCCAAAACAACTCCCCACAGCAAAGAACTATCTGGCCCCAAATGTCAAGAGCACCCACGCTGAGCAACCCTGGTCCAACCAAACCACAGAAGTTGTCTTTCTATATATAGTTGGGAGATCAGTTCTGAGACCCACAGAGGGATGAATCATCTTACATGTGCCTCCCAGGCAGAAAAATGTTCAATCCAACCCTCGTTTTACATTCGCTTCTTGAACAACGTGATAGATTGTGGGAGCCTTTTTCTCATAAGGTAAATAAATGGGTGGGTGACAGCCCACCAGGCCTGGAAGTCGCTGGCCCCACCAAGACAGCAAACACCAAAGCCCCAGGCTCCTGCTGCTGCGTAGGGTGAGCAGACCCAGACTGGACTGAGCAAATGAGCCAGGCGGGAGTGCTGGGTCCAGTGTTGTGGCCCAGGGTGGGGAGAGCAGAGCATGAGGCAGAGCAGCGGGTGCAGGCACCGTGATCAGGAGGACAGGTTGCCCCAGCCCTGCTCATAAACTGCTACACTGTACCTCTTCAGCAGCCACACCTGGTGCAAAATAAGACTGTGCCATCTGTGATGACTGCAGGGAGTTGGTTATTAACAAGCTGATGTGCTTTTTTCTACTAAGCTGTACTCTTTTGTTCTTGCAGAAAAAGAAAATTTAGGCTTCATTCTTTTTTTTTTTTTTCTTTTTCCTGCAATCCCTCTTTTGTGATTTTCTGAGAACATTTAGGGGCACACTGGTATTCTCATTTGTTATTCATCAGTCTTCTAATGGGGGGGGGGCTCCTTGAGGATAGATATTGTCTTTTCCATACACCAAGGGCCTGGTACATAGCAGATGTTCAAAATGTGTTTGTGGGAATAAAGTATTTTCTGAGATGCAGGTAACAACGTAAAAACACCTACTATTTTCTGTGCTTAATGGTCTCTCCTTTTAAAGTCACAAATTTATATTAATGAGATGTCAACTATCTTAATTAGGACAGCTCATAGGTGTAGCATGTATCTGCAGAGGGGTCACAGTGGGTCCACACATGCTCACTAAATGTGCACTAGGTGTTAGGTGCTCTAAGGGATATGTGGATAAATAAACCATGGTTCCTACATCAAGGACATTAAATCCAGCGGAAATAATTTTCAAAGAGCTCACTAGTGCAGACAAGTCATGGCACATGCAAAATTGGGGGTCCAAGCAAACAGCGATAGGAGCACAGAGCAGAGAGACATTTAGAGAATTTTGACTTAACAAGGAAAGCTTTGAGTGAGGTGGCGTCTGAACTGGATAGATACTGAATGGGGCCCTCATAAACTACTGCTTCCTATGCTCTAGTGGGATCCACACTGTACCTGTTGGCATGATGCCCTTACCATTAGTATTTTTTAACTTTCTAGTGTGTAATATATAGACCAAAAGAAGTGCATAGTTCACAAGTATACAGTGCGATGAACTATCACAAAGTGAGCACACTTGTGTTATTACCCAGGTTAAGACATAGAACATCACCCTCCCTCTGCCCAGAAGCCTCTGCTTACCCCCTCCCTGCTCAGGATTTCACTTTCCTGTTTCTAACACAGCAGATTAGTCTTGCATGATATTGAATTTTATAAAAAATGGAATTTTGCAGTGTGTTTTCATGGCTGTCTTGCTTCTTTAGTTCAAAATTATTTTTAGGAGAATCATCCTTTTTTTCCCCCACATAGCTATAGTTTATTCATTTTTACTGCTGTATAGAATTCTATCATATGAATATACCAAAACTTATTTATCCATGCTACTGTGGATATGTGAGTTGTTTCAATAGTCATTTCAAGTTTTTGGCAAGTACAAATAAATATTCTTGCCATGGATATTGTTGCATGCATCTTTGGTGAATATCTGTAGACTTCTCCATTGGGTATAGGTCTTGGAATTAAATTTCTAAAATCAGTACAATTTTGTGAACTTTGGAATGGACACAAATGTCCTCATCTTTGCACCTAAGCTGGTAATTGAGGGTTGGATGAGATGATTCCAAACCAAGAGAGATGATAAAATGGGGCACACCAATGAGAGTAACATGCAATAAAAACTCAAGGCTTGCAAATGTGGTGAGCACATTCACAGTGAATACTTTCCCTCTATCACTTGATGAACCTCCTTGCGTTGTAGAAGTGAGTCTGAAGCAGCAACGATTCCATGCTCCAACTTCGTCTCCCATCTTAATTTAGCCAAGCTGAGGCCATGTGCTCTGGCAAGACTTTCTGTGTAACTGAAATCAGGTTTCATCTCTGATTTATTAGGATTTTGTCAAATAGTTAATACTATTATTTGACTCCCATCCATTTCATCAGCAGCAGTTTAAACTCAGTCATCTTGAATCAGTCACAAACAGTCCCAAAGGTTTATTTGGCCTTATATTTCTTAACACAATTTATAGCATTCAAATATTGAGTTAGATTTCAGGATGACATTCATCAAGCCTACTGTAAAATGCCCTTGGCTTTTTTCTCATCATCCCTGTCATCTATCTTGGCAGTAAAAGTGCTGCTGCTTTAACTCTGTTCCATATGATCAGGTAAAACCACTTTTTCTTTCCAAGGCTTATATTTTAGCAGTGCCTAAGAACTCACCTACAGGGACTGCCTAAATTTCTTTCCTTCCATAAAGCTTTGTAATAAACTCACCTCTTCAAATTACATTTTCCCCCAGGATTTACCCCAAATTTGGTCTTTTTACCTTTCCAAATGCAGGAATTGTTTATGCACATAAGGTATATTATCTTTTCCAAAGCAAAGATCAAGTCTCTTGGACTTCCTAGAATGCATGTGTTCATGGGAACGAGAGGCTGAAATACTATGATCTAGTCTACAAAAATCTCATTTAGAGGGTTCATTATCTAGAGTGGGTTACTCTCTAATAGTTAAATCTCCAGACTTCAGCCTAAGCGGTAGGGTTCCCAGGATTAACCAATATATATACGGCTGCTCCTTCCTGAGCTCTCATGGACTCTAAGAGGTTAGAGTGGGA